TAATTTTAAAAAGCATATTTTGATAGTATTCCTGATGACAGTGTAAGGCCTCTACTGAAAGGAAAGAAAACAGAGACTTGCTGTGTTTTAGTAAAGCCGTAAGAGTTTGTGTCGACTTGCAATCTGAAGGCATAAAGCAATTCTTGATACTCTTTTTCCCTTTCAGTGCACTTTTTGCATTCATAGAGAGAGAAAACTCATTAATTCTGATATAAATATATGCAAATAAATTTATTAATATAGGAAATGGGAAAATCAGTTATTGCTTCCTTTATAAATAATACAGGCTTAAGTTTTAAAGATATTACTTTTCCCTAAAATGAATTAGACAGCCAGGGAAAAAATCACATTTTTTCATGGTGGTAATATCTTTAACCAGATTTGTCGCGCTAACAGCATTTCCTATGTATATATTATTTTTATTTAATACAGGTAATCTTTTTATTACAAATCATATTGTTTCTCAGGAGATTACCATCAAGTCTCATAAAAGCTGCAAAAAAAGATGAAAAAGCATCAATCACCACCAGACACAGCGTGCTGTCTGCAGATTAAATATACAAAGCCCTTTAATATGCTTCAATGAGATACTTGTTAGCTGTTGATTTATTTATAGTCTTTCTTCTACTCTGTTTTAATTTCAATTTGAATTTGACTCCAAGGGTCCCTGTCTAGTAGTGATCAAGAACAAGATGACCTTGTGCATCAGATTAACTCCAGCTAGGCTTACTCATGCGATTAGCTACTTTCTTACTCAGTCCCTTGACTGGGTGTGGGAAGGCTTCATAGTTGTCAGTGGTACAAGGAAGAAGGACAAGGAGGTACAGCAGAATTATGCTGTCATCTAGAGATGAGGCTAGACCAAATGCCTGGTTAGAATTCACCACAGGTGAAACAGGGGTCTTTCCATCTGGGATATATGTTGGCTTTTGGTGGGAGTCTATCTCAAAAGACAAGCAAAGAGATGTGGCTTCAGAATTTAGGGTTTATTGCCTTCTGTGTTTTGATAGCTTATCCATGAGGGTAGTTTCTCCCTAACAAAAGATATGGCAAAAGTTATTTCTTGACTTGCGGTTCCCAGACTTAGCAAAGTTTGTGGATCCTAAAGTGTTCAGGTACTCGGGGAGTCAAAAAGACAGTGCTTCTTACCATCAGAAACCAATCTGGCAACTGCTACACAGGCTTTGACTGGTCTGTGGGAGTGGGATCCCATCCATGCAGCATGGAGATGCTTAGATGTTATTTTTCTACTTAGCATATTGCAAGTCAAAGCTTCAGCTGACTGTTGTGTGCAAGGACAGCATCCTTCTCATCTGGCACATGCAACAGTCTACGGGCAGAGGGAATACTAACCAAAAGCTATCAAATTTTCCCAAGAGATCAGCCACAGACAGAACCTGACTGCATCTCATATTCATTAACAGATTGACTCTTGCACCAACTCTGAGTTTTAGTTTCTTCATTCTGCAATCCCATTGGCTTATACTTTTTGCCTAGTGAAACAGCTTTGAGTTATTCATACATTTTCACTGCACTGCAGAACTGTTTAAAGATACTTGTTCTATCTCTGACAATCTCTCTTGAGCCCTGACAGTGAGATGTAGTGGTATGTCCCATGACATGTAATCCAAATTAATTAACCCCAATGAGAAATACCTATATTAGCCTGGGAGCATGCAGCAGTTGGGTAACTATATTGCTGCCAGCACCTGATCTTGGTGTTAAGAAACAATTTAGTTCTGTCACTTTATACCGTTAAAAAGACAACTGTTTCCTGAAACGTCTTGTTCTTTCTGATCTCCAAAAAAACTAATTTCTATTTGGTTATTTCCATTATTTTAGAAATTTTGTGTTAAAATAAATCCTTTCATGCTCAGTGTGGGGATCCTTATGTAAAGGTAAACCTGGATTTTCACAAATACATAGAGTACCTAAAATCCCATTAGAAAATCATGTAGGAAATATGCTTCCAATGTAAGGCATATAGACTTCATTCACTGAGTTAGTTATTTTCACTCTTCTTGAGGCCTTGCTTCAGAATGCTTCTGAAGGCTGCTTTTGTCTAGTGCTGCTACTAAAGCTGCTTTTGTCTAGTGTTTGACTCTCATTAAACTAAATGTGTTTAAATGCTCTCAGGCTGTGAGGTAGCTTGTTTGTCCTTCCTTACACACCAGTTCTGCTTGGGACCCATATATTCTTCCTTTCTTCCCTTCTTTATGCTGTCCCTCCCAAAAGGAATGAACAGTCCCTGCAGGCTCCTGCCCACTGTGCCTTTCCTGTTTGGCTGTGTCTGATGAATGTTATTTCAGGGGTAGTGCACCTTCCCAAAGGTTTCTCTCAGGAGAATTGCACATATGATTGTTCACAACTGTTTGGGTCACAACTGAAGTGAAAACACTGAAGTTGTGTCTACTGCTTGCAAATCACTTTGAGATGAAAGGAATTAGTTGCTCTCAGAGGCATTAGTGATGGGTATGCTGATATTCTCAAGCTGCCCATGATCGTTTCTGCTTGCTTTGTGTTATTGCAAGCTATGCTAAGACTCCAAGCGTCATGGTATTCTCAACCTACATATCTACAAATCATATCTAAGACAGTCTCTTATAAAAGATCACATTAAATAGAACTGCGACAGATCTTGAGATATCACCCAATCAAATGTGTGGTAAGGTGATTATTGCATCTGCTTTTTATTTCACAGATTAGTCACACTGCAGACTTTCTGTCTGTCTCCATTTCACAGGGCGGGAATTTTGATGTTGCTGACAGGATGTTTCACAGTGTCAAGAGCACGTGGGAATCAGCATCAAGGGACAACATGAGTGATGTCAGGGAACTCATCCCTGAATTCTTCTACTTGCCAGAATTCCTAACCAATGCAAATCACTTTGAACTTGGTAAGTTCTAGAAAGGACTTTAGTGCTCCCCTTCCACTCCCCAGAATCCTGCCAGGGAAAATGATGCAGATCATGTGTTGAGAGTTGGTCCCTGAACTATGTGGACTGATGAAGCTCACCAGCAATAAGAGATCAATTTTTAACAAAATAAGGCTACAAGAGTACAAGCTTCCGATATCTGAATGATATCAGAAGAACCAAGTTTCCAGTTCAGAAAGGATTGTATTTCCTCTTAGTTACTGTGCAAAGGAATTACACATTTTGTCAGATAAAGGCAGATTTTTATATAAGCAATATAGTTGGCAGCTTTTGAAAATTTGGGCTGTATCATCATATCTGTGTTGCTGTGAACAATATAGTAATATGACTTTTGGAGGCAGATCAATTATTAAATCATGTCGATGAAAGGTGGGTTTTTTAAAAATCTGATGTGAGATTACAAGGTGATTAAATTTACTAAATGTCCTCACTGTCATCCTGAAAGGTCCTAAACAAGTTACATGAATTTCATATATTGTCCCTGACCTCAAGCATATCATAATCCCTTCTGGATGTACACTGTCTCTAGTCCTTTCTGCATCAGTGATGGAAGGTCAGAGAGAATCCAGAAAAAAAAATAGTATTCAGAAATAGGTATGGCAGTCACAATTCACTTCACTTTACAGGAAAGTCACATCATTTGCAATGCAAAGCTGGTTTTTTGCAGAGGGCAGAGGTTGTTTAACAATAAAGGCAGAAGAGAAACACCTTAAGAGTCATCCTAAACTGGTCATGACAAAGGCAACTTAACCCACGGTATTGAGGTATATATATAACTTTATTTAAGACCTCAGTGAAATGAGGCATGCTAAGACAAGAGCAGAATGGAAAAGAAGATTGTTAAAAGATAAGAAAGCATTGGAGTAGTTTTATCCTGAGAGGAGGCCAAGAAACAGCGCCTGACTGAAATCAAGTTCCAGAGACTGACCTGAGTGGAATTAAGGGACCTGAAAAAGACATGAGAATCTTGCCAGTAAAGGACAAATATAGAGGAAGATTTTACAAGAGGCAAAGCCAGGACTTTAGTAACAGACTTGAGTCTCAACTTAGATTTTAATTCATCCAGTTGCGCAACACTGTGCTATGATTTAAGAACATACTCTTGCCTTCTAAAAGGAGTCAGATTGCAAAAGACTTGAGAACATAATCCCTCTGAGTGGCAGATTTAGTAGGAAGATCTGGCAGTTAGGCCCACAGTATTATCTATAAAAAAGAAGTTATGCCAACAGGTTTGTCTTGTCTGAGTTTGCAGTCTGTGTTAAAATGGTTTGTGCTGAGAACATGCTTCTTTTTACTGTATTAGTGACAGTTACTAGAACATCTTCTCAGTGCTTTATTACTGGATCAGAAGTCCCAAGAGAAATGGTTTCTGCAACGATCTATGGCACTATATTTGATGTAGAACCTGAAACTTCATGTGGGAAAATCACCTCATTTTCCTTTGACTTCCATGTTTTAGAAAAGCTGCAATATGTTGATTCTTGTTTTTAATTCTCCCTTTGTGATTCCTGCAGGCTGCATGCAGGATGGAACAGTGCTGGGAGATGTGCAGCTTCCTCCTTGGGCAGATGGGGACCCCCATAAATTCATTCTCCTGCACAGACAGGTCAGTGAACATCAGGATTTATGGCAAAATGCTGAACTGAGTCCCAATAAAAATGAAATTCTGAAGGCCGGAGTCACATGTCAAAATGTTAGATACAAATGTGTCCTGACTTTGTGGAGTTTGTGTGGATTCTTAACTTTGCATATCTACTTGTTTGCCTAACAGTTCACCCTGGAACAAGGCCAAATTCCACACCAGGTGAGGTTTCTATCTAGCTCTGTGGTATGGATCTATTTCAGCCCATAAGTGGATGTGAACATAATGCATACATGTACCATTTACATGCATACAGTTCCATGTTGTTGCTAACCAGCTCTGTTTTTGTTTAAACTATCTAATTCCATCTGAGTCATGCCAGCACTACAATTATTTTCTTTGGTTTTGGAGGGAAAACCTAATGTGACTTCCTGCCTTTAATGGAGTCAGCCTTGGCAATTCGAAAGCAAATAGCTTTAGGGTCCTGAGACTTACTGCAGTTAGTGTTATCTATTAATAGCTAGAAAGTCTTAACTTCTGTATGATGTCACCTGCTATGTAGTAGCGAGTGCAAATGCAATTCTGTATGTAAGCTGGTGCATTGAACACAGGCTGCAGCAAACTATCTTGGTGCAGATCTCTGTTATTGCTAAAAAGAGAAGGGGCTGTACTACTGTGCCCTTGCATTGTCTCATCAGATTTCCTCTGGCAAAAGGAGTCAATCTCTATTTGTGAGTGCATGCAGATTGTTGGTGTGTACAAAAAATGTGATGATTATGTGTTAGCATTGGTGGAATTAAACAAATAGCCCATGATCTTCAAGGCATTGCATCATCCCGTTTTGTCATGTTTGTGAGTTCCTGCCTCTGTGGGTTCTTCTCACCTCTTCAATGCTATGCAGGTCCTGCCCTTGGGGGTTCATCTTTCGCTCTCTATGATCTCTTTGTAGGTGATTGTATCCAAACCTGTGGATACAACCATCTTCTCTATTTTAGTATTTCTAAATAAGCCTTTCCTCAGCTGACCTCTCCAAATGCTGCTTTACATTCTGTCTCTGACCTCTGATCTGAGTTAACATGGATATGATCTAAGCCTCTGCTTGCCACATTTTTGTGTAGTAGTCCTGCCTTTGTTTCTTTTTAAGGACAGTCAAGCGTATAGTGAGATATTTCTTTTTTTGGCTTAATTGATTAAAAGGTTCCTGTTAGTCTCTACTGTGAATTCTTGACCTGAACACTTCATATCCATGTCAGAACAATAATGCTAAAAAATATTCAAAATAAGTTAGATTTCTATCTCACTACTTGACTGATTTTGAAATGGATAACTTCTGCAAGTATTTATTAAAAATGTTGTTTTCAGTCATTTGAAAATGTGATTGAAAGTCAACATCTACCACTTTTTTCCCCAGAATCCTGCCTTTAATACATGAAAGCTTGTGAATTAATGATACTCCAAGTTATGTGGTTTGAAGAATAGCTGCTTACTATTATTAGCAGGTCTCAAGTATCTCCATGCCTAGTGGCTTGACTGTGGTGTGCTGCCCCACGGTTTAGTAACCTACGCCAAGCCCACACATTGAATTTACAGCATATTCAGTAACTAATCAGTCCCTTTGCAGAAGCTACATTAATCTTCTTGTCCTTTGTTTTACCTTCTATTCATGTAGCAGTTACATGTGTAACTCAGATCACAGCCCTCTATTACTGGGCTGACAAGCACACCATGAGAAGACCTGCCTGGGGGGAAAAATTGTGTGGAAGAGCTTCTCACCAGAAAACTAGCCAAGGGAAATGGGAGTGTGTCAGTAGGAACAAGAAAATGTCTCAATAAATCCTTTCAACTTTCTGTGTTACCAAAAATATTCAGAATTATCTTTTCATTGCAATGTTTATATTAGATTACAGGTTGAGCTGAGACAGTGTATTTTATAATACAGCTGTTATAACTAATATTGTATGGTGTATAGCCTCATTATTAGTAAAATACAATATTTCCAGATTTAGAACTGGGGGAGGGGAGTAAATTTTAATACATGAGAAAACTTGAGAGTTGGGCTTTTTGTTCTGATTTGGAAAGAAAATACTATTGAGTGTCTGAATTTCCCCCAGAACCTAGTTCTCATTTTTCAGACAGACCCGGACCCACCCCTGCTTTTCCACCACCTATTAGCTTGAGGGGATAAGGAGAAAATGTTTTTGCAAAGAATGGAGATGCAGACAGATTAAGAGCCATATTCAGACTGCTTAAGTTCCTGTACATACACGGTAATAGGTATTACTAAGTCAGACATCTCTGAAGCTGCCTAGAGAGTGTGATTCAGAGGCTCAGAGCTCTAGTCACACTGCAGGATAGCGGAAGGGAAGAGAAACATGAGTTTTTGTCAGTGCCTGTAACCACACGATGATACATGTACTATGAGGAAGGAGACCCTTGTGTAAGTGTTATGGGCACTGCAGGCTTGCTGCTCAAAGTACAGTCGCTAAAATGAAGAGTTGAGCCTAGGGAGTGCCTAATCCCTTCCCTTGAAGGAAGCAAATACTACCCACTGCAAATAGGTTTTGGCCGCTGAGGTCAAATATGCAACAGTTCCCTGGTGTTTCCCAGTGGCTCCAGCAAATGTACGGAGGTGTGAGGGCTCTCTGGTGCCTTTCTCTCCTCTCTCATGCTCTCCAAGATGCTTAGTCTCTGTTCTTCAATTTCCCAAATACGGGAAAGACAACACTGTCCTTCCTTAACAGAGGTGCTGCAGAGGGCTGCATGGATGCCTGAAAGCTACTGCAATTTTAAGCTGTTGTTGTCTAAAAGAAAAACATAAGGAGAAATGCTGTCTCTTATACTGTGGCTTGTTTGGAATGTAAAGTTCAGAGCTGTGCTCCTTACTGCTTGTGTAATGGTGAGTACTCTGAAGGCACTTAGATACAATGAGGAACATCTGCTTTTGCCTTGCAGTAAGGGTGCAGTTTCGAGATGAACCTATCAGTCATCCCTGTATAGCATTGCTCTCATTGGAAAGCAATCTCAGATTGTGTGAACTAGATTTGGTTTGGATGAAATGAAACCAAAGACTGCGCTCCAGTTGTGCACTCCAGATGCTGGTGGCAGTCAGCCTGTTAGAGCAGACTAGATCTAGTTTCAAGTAAAGCTCCCACAGTGCATGTAATGGGGATACTGGGCCCTCTCTACCATCTGTTCTGTTCTACAGACCTGCTTCCACTGAGCTGCACTATTTGGTGACATTGGCACAGCTAGTAAAGCTGCACAACTTTTACAAATTAATTCAAATGTCTAATAGGAGCAGTTTAGCACATGAAAGATCATGTTTATAGATTCACATTCTTAATGATTTGCCAGACCTGATCACACCTTATGTATGGTCAGTTCAATATTCTCCCTTCAACCATGGCTAGTACTAGGTGTTAACACAGGAGGGTGCAAGAAATCTTGCTGTGGAAAGAAAGTTGATTAGCCTGCCTGGGAAAATTCACCTATCCCTTGAATGGAATGAAGAGTTAGAGTTCTTGAATTCTGAAACATGAGGGTTTCTGTCTCCTCTGAAATAATCCACCAGATGGGAATGTACTTGTTAGTGGTATCACGATCATTTTTAGGAGGCTTTGCAGAAAGTATGGTGCCTTAAGCAGATCCAGGTCAACACTGTTTTGAGGTTTGGTTATTGCTTTAAAGAATATGAGATAGAAGAATTGTACTTGACATACAACTCTGAGTAACTCACTGTTTCACATTTAATAAGTTAGGAATCTAATCTACTGAAGAATTTATTTACTTCCTCCTTAGACCACAAGTTCTTCCTCCCTGGCTGAGCTTGTCATAGTGCTTAGTGAAATACTAAGAGGCTGAACAGTTGCAGCTCTGTTGGTTGCTTTGTTTTGCTCTGGCAGTGATGCCAGGCAAAATTTACAGTTTGTAATTCATAGACTAACTGCTTTTATTAATAAGGATGAGTTCTGAGTCTGTTCATAAGTGCTTTCCTGTTGTTTGCAGGGGACAGATTGTATGCTGTGCTTGTTCTCTGAGCTGCTGTGTGATCGTTATAGCTGTGGGCAGGGTCATTTAAACCAGCTGCACTGGGCTAACTGTCTGCTCTGTGAAATGAGCCATTGTTCTGGATCCCATTAGCTTGCTTATTTCTGCTGTGCTTTGGGTGGGATGGTCTGCTTGGGAGACCTTTAACTGAGCATGGGGGAGTATTGCACAGTCAAATGATTCGGAGACAGGAAAGTATTTTTAATAATGCTTAACACTGCTGCTTGAATCATTGGGCAAGGCCATTTGGGAATGCACAAAATTTTGGTGAGGCAGGTGATGGCAGTAACCATTTAGTGAAGCCTCTTGGGTAAGGCTGACCAACCTGGAGGTGGGCAAAGGTTCAACTCAAACTTGTGTCCACTGCTTATGAACTTGTTGTCTGGGTCTTCCAAGCACAACTTTTCTGCTTGATTACATTGAGCTTTTTAGGGATCCCACACTGGGATGGATGTATTACCATACAGCATGTCTACCAGTTTTCTTCAGTAGTAGTTGTTTCTTCTGATCCCATTAATCCACACACCTGCCACTATGGGTGGCAAATCTAATCAAAGTTAACCATTTCTTATTTTGGGAAAAATTATCAGACCCCAGGTTTTTCCAGGATAAGGAAATCTGATGCTGCGACTGACTGTGATTGAGCCCTCGAAGGGTAGCAAACTGTTGATCAAACCCAGACAATCTTGAAACTTCTGTCATACAACTGCCCTGCTGCACCCCAGCTCTGCTGTGCAAAACTCTTCCCTGTCTTGGTTTGCAACACCCCCTGCCAATTCACTACAAGCTCTGCACTCTCTTTGCTGGTTCATGGCATGCAGCCTCTCCTGATGTACCCTTCAGACCCAACTTAAAGCCCCTCTTCTAGTCATCTCACTTTCTAATCTATGTTTGTGTATCTTCTCAAATAAAGTCTCTGCTATTCAATGCGTGTCTTAACTAAGACTGACTTATTTCTATAAATAGAAATTCAGCTGTGGTTTGTCTGTAGATCCAAGTGGTGGTACCAAATGCTAACAAATGTTTTGCTCATTTAAACCATCTTGGGTATGATAGCAGTATTGGGGAAGACATGACAGCACAAGCTTTAATGTGTGCTGGAAGTTGGAGGATGTGCAAAGATCTGTGGAGTGCTTGCACTTTGCTTTGTGGAACCTGTTTGTGTTGTCTCTGACAATACTGCTCCTGCTTGTCTGTTAAGTCAAGAATGCTGCACAAAGTCATTTCTTTTCCTGTGGGGATTCACTTTTCATCACTTCAAGAAGTCACATTCTGTGAGGATGTGCTGAGAATGGTAGTATTGGAGGAACTGAAAGTGTGAAGATTTCTTGCCAAGACTTTAAGTCTCCAGCAAGGATTAGAAAGTGGCAGTGCATTTGTAACTGATACACTCTACTGGATGAAATAATTTTCTTTTGGTTTCAGGCACTGGAAAGTGACTATGTCAGTGCACACCTCCATCGCTGGATAGACCTGATTTTTGGCCACAAGCAACATGGCTCAGCTGCAGTGGAGGCAGTTAACACCTATCATCCTTACTTCTATGGAAACAAGACGGACCTCAACAACATTAAAGATCCTCTGATTAAGAGCACCATCCTGGGTTTTATTAGCAACTTTGGACAAATACCGAAGCAGGTACCACTTTATCATAAGAGTAGAGGGCATAATTTATTTTGATCTTACAGTATTTTAACTGGAAAGCTGCAATCAAAACTTGTCAGAGAGATTTTCTGATTTAAATCTGCTGAAAGATGGGCTAAAGATGTCTCCAGACTGTGTACCACATCAGTATGCACCCACACACACTGTGATTCCACTTTCTAATCATGCTGTTCCTGTTGTATGCCATAGAGCTGTGGCATCAAATCTAGGTTCTTTTCTAGTACACTCACATGAGTAACCCCTAGTCTGGGAGTGGGTACAGCCAAATAAAAGCAGTTCAAAGTCACACCTATACTTTTCTCTTTTCTCCTAGATTGCTGGGATTAGCTTCCTATTTCTGTGAGAAAGGGATGTAATCTGATGAAAATGTAATAAGGTTAAGATTTCATTGTAATGAAGAGGTTCATGTCTAAAGTCTATGATTAAGGATTTAAACAGATGTCTCTCCTGCATGATCTGTCAAACAGGGATTCATTTCTCAATTCCGTTCATTTGTTCTAGCTCTTCACGAAACCACATCCATCCAGGAATGC